CAACACCACTCCATTTTACCCATGCTTTGCATCATTACTTCACTTTCACCTTTGAATCATTTCAACACCACTCCATTTTACCCATGCTTTGCCTTGCACTTCCTCTATAAAAGGAAGTGTGTGTAACATAAATTGAGTTCATACTTGGTTAGATCATTCACTCCCATTTCAACACAACCTTCATCCAAAACACATCCATTCATCTTCACATCCATTCCTCCATACAAACAAACCTTCAAACACTCACTAACACCTTATAAAAACTAACCAAAATTGCAGTTAAAAAGACTTAATTACCCTTAAGTTGCATATTGAATTACATAAACGATCAGCCCTTACTTGTACAGCGGAACCTGCATTCCACCGCTTCCATGGTTTCATTCAGCCATCTTTAATTTTATCAGTCATTCGGTCATCTTTATATCTATCACTCCATGTGGTAAAACTTTGTAAAAGATGATTCTGAAAAAATAAATTGCAGCAAAAGAATACATCTCTGTAGAATAGCTTATGTGGTATCGATTCTATCCATATGACCAAAAACTGCAAGTCTATGAGCCAGGCGACTCGAAAAACCAAACACATGTTTAGAAAAGATAAACTTTTCGTATGTAAGTATAATTGCCAATCTTCTGCTCTAAAAGAGGAAACAATACTTTAGTAACTTGTATGATCGCATCCAATCCTAGATCTTTCTCCAATATCTCCTTAATTGCCGTCTGATTTGCAATCCCACCTACGATCGCACATGTTGAACCAGAGCTTGTCGTTGGATTTGCAGCGCGAAACAAACCGCTCTGATGTGCAGGCCAAGCTGGCGATCTCGGAAGGCGTGAGGAAGGAGATTGATGCAGAGCTGGACATCCTCAGGGAAATTGAAGAAGTAAATGGCGCTACCCGATTAGTCAATTGCGAGACTTGGGTCTTTGATTGTCATCATTTTCGGATTTGAGAACCTGGGCCTGATTTTCTCGGGAATGTTGTGAATTTTCTGGGAAAATAGTTGGGAATTTTCTGGGGGAAATTGGTGGGATGTACGAGTATCAGGACAAGGAAATGAGAATTTGTTGTATTGGATTGAATTTAGGAGATTCTTCGGCTGAGAAGAAATGATTATCTTTCTTCAACTTGCTGGTGCAGAGACTAGCGTTTTTGGTCATAAGGATAGGAGGTGAACTCCAGACGTCAGAGGAATAGGAGAAGAGAGAGTTTTAATTTAAGGGTAATTAAGTCTTTTTAACATCAATTTTGATTAAGTGTTTCTCAAAAGGCTATATTTCCAAATTTCCCAACATTGAGTCTCCGACACATCCTTTTGTAATTTTTTTCTCTTGTTATGCTTGTTTGCAGAATTGTAAGACACCTAAATCGGCTAATCAGGAAAAAAACCAAGGGTCTCGAGTTTGCAGAATTGTAAGAGACCCAAATCAGCTATGCAGGAAAAAACCGAGGGTCTCGAAGAGATTAGGAATAATTACATAGAAATAATGCTTCCAAATCACTTTTTCATATTCATGACTTGTGAATGAGTATACATAATTCAAATCATGTTGATGAGTTCCATGTATGCATCAGCTAAATAGCAAATTGGACCAAACGTAAGAGCCCATAATGCCTCCATGTGTATGTGATATGTGTAATACAAGGAAGATTGAGTCTGGTAAATTTTTATTAGGAGCTGCTAGATTCATCTCTTTGTCTTGTTTTCTCAATCACATATAAAAATGCAAAAAGATTACTTCTCTTTCTCCACTTACTGTTATTCCTAATATATCTTTATTTTTAAAACTTATAACAAAAACTTAATTAAGATAGAGAAAAAAGCATAAATTCAACCGCCACGTAGCAACATAGCGTTGGAACTCATTACCCGCCATCAACCAAAACTCACCACCGCACCTGCTGTCGTTCTCCTTGCTGCCGGCCAATTTTTTTTCCTCCCTTTCTCTTCTTCTCTCTTTCTCTCTTCCCATACCAAATCCAAATATAAAAGGACTGTCAAGATCAAGAACTATATATGAGATTTCAAATTTTTAGAGATTGTTGTCAAGAATTTGAAGCCTCTCACCATATCCGTTGTAATTCTTCCCCAACAGCTATCAATCATAGAGACAGAGTAGATTTGGAAACAAAGTAAGAGAGGGCAGGAGGTGAAAGAGAGAGAAACGGGAAGAGAGAGATTAGAGGTTTTGTGCTCTCCTTTCTTAACTTCTTTTTTATTTTGTTCTCATGGCTTTTTATTGGGGTTTATAAGTCATTTACAAAATAAAATATGTCATTTAGAATTTTTTATTAAAAAGTGGGTGGTGAAATAGGACATGTGAGTGGCTTTATAGTACTCATATTTAATATTATGAAAAGAATATTTATCCAGACTTATTTTTTGCTCTCTTGAAATATTATTTTGATCTCGTTTTGCCTTTTGGAATTTATATTTTGTCACTTAACCCTTCCACTCTACCTGGATTCAATCTATTTCGTTAAATATCAGTATAATTGTTGATGTGTCATTCAGATATTATATGGCAAGCAATAGGAAGATGAATAGACAGATAAATATTCTTCTTATAATTTTAGACATTAGTCAAGAAAGCACCTTACAAGATCTTAAACATTTAAATATATTTGAAAAAAAAATTGAAATTCTACTGTAAAATCATTTGATAATATAATGAGTATTATTTATAAGCACATCAAATATAGTTCCTTCTGAACCTCAAAATACCAAGAGCACCATTCCCTAATGCAAAGCTTTCAGATAGTCTCATCTTGAGATCCATCTAAGCTCTCTGCCTTTCAGGGAAGGAAAAACTTTACTTTTAGTGCTGGTGCCTGAGGGACAAATAAGGGTTCCAACACTTCCCCGCACGTCAGACCACATTTTATGGGTCACACGTGGAAATCCACATTGGCAACCACGTGGAGCTAGTGGGGGCTCACCCATCGCGAGGGGCCAAACGGGGACCCACCCAATCACGTGGCATCTTTGGCCTATGTGGACATCGCGCGGGGCCAAAGGGGACCCATCCAATCACGTGGCAGTACGGGCCCGTCCCCTGGCTCTGATACCATGTGAAGAAAGAATATTACGAGAAAAATTGTCTCGAATGAATGATTTCATTGATCTGAATAATACAATATATACATGAGTATTCTCCTAATAAATCTCTAATCTAATAAGGCTCACAGTAAAAAAGGAATTTACAAATTAAATACAAATCTTTTCCTAAACAATCTCGGAGAATCCTAGATTTGGTGAACGTCTTTTCCAATAGTGCCCTCCATGTTGAATTATTATTAAGTTGAAATGGTACACCACGACTTAAATTGATTTTGAGATCGTTTATGTTAGTTTTTGGGATGTACACTTGGTGTATATATTGATCTTATATGTTTAATATGAAAATGTGATTAATTGAAGAGTTGCTTTATATTTGCTAAAATTTTTAATTTTAGATTACAAAAGAGAAAATATATAATTCATCACACGAATTGACATATGTGACACAAGTGATTACGGCACATATTAAAGTAACATGCGATGATTACAACACCTCTTATACATTTAATATGTGATGAAAATGTATTATTACTTTGCATAAAAAAAAGAAATATATATATATATATATATACACACACACACATCACTGATATTCGTCATATATAGTACAAATTTTCATATTTATGTACGAATATTTGCAGCCACATAAATACCATATAAGTGGAGAAAGAATAGTTAAACAATGTATCGGTATTTTTCTCATGATGTCACACACATAAAAAATTTCTTTATTCTTCTTAGTAATGAGATATTTGAGAGGAAAACAAGATATGAGATTACCTAAAAAGGGGAAATACATATCATTCTTAATTGAACAAGCAAAATTAAATCCACGAGAAAATGGAAACTTATATTATTGATTATTTCCTCCTAAAGGTTAACATAGAAAATAACTTTGAAAATAAAAAATAATTCCAAAATTTTATAAAACTTGCCTATAGGTTTTAGGTTGTGTATATACTCACATTCTATTATTTGGAAAAACTTTCCTGCTTTCCCATTAGCCAACAAGAAAATTAATAAAACGTGTGTGATTAAGATTGAATTTTGATAAAACTTACTCTAAACACTATAAGCTCACATAATAACATCGTACGTATTAAAAAATTACGCTTACTTGATGAGGATCTTCTTGGATCATTTATTTTTTTCAAGACTTGTGAGAGTTGACTTTCCTTTGTTAACTTATTCCTGAGTCCAAATAGGGGGTTGACCTTGTTAATTATAATCTTAACTATAAAGAAGAGGCGCATGCGCACGTCCTGAACACACCATCAAATATCACCTTTCAAACTTCTTGGAATTTCTAGAGTACTCCAACGTAATCGAGACAATTTGCCTCGGACAAACTCCCCTCTGTCTAAGGGACAAGGATTGTTCCTTGTTTCCATGCGTGCCCTCCTGTTTGTATGATCACGGTTAAGCTACATCAACATTTTATGTTTCTATTCATTTTTGTCTTATTATCTCTCCATAAAAAAATAATATAAAATGTTGATGTGGCTTAACCATGATCACACAAAACAGGAGGGCACGAAAACAAGGAGGGCAAACAATCCTTGTCCCTGTCTAAGACTAGCTTGCATCGTCGTCGTAAAAAAGAAATCAATTAATGGATCTACCTCATTCAAAAAAACCTAATCATGAACAGGTATATGATGACACGATTGTTAAAATTTCTCTTTGTTTCTCTACTATATAGAATATAGAATATCTCACTACACAGCCATTCAAGCTTGGCATCCTCATCTTCCAACTTGGAAAATGTCTCTCTCTTCTCCTGAGATAAAAATAGCCCTTTTGCAAACCACCATAGCCTGTCACCGGGTTCTACCCCAGGTAAAGACTCAACTGCCTCCATCGCTTTAGGATATGACGATGCAACAAAACTAATCGGAAGTACCTCAACAAGTTGTGACGGATCCACTCCGCCTTTTTAAGCTTGTATTATCCTTTTCTTCATCCCAGATGGACTAATTTACACACATTAAGCAAGTCATCAGACGATCGAGGATATTCAACATATATGACTCCATTAACAAATACACAAAATCAGCAAACAAAAAGTAACCAAGAGATTGACCACCCAAAAAAAAAAAAAAAAGAAACCAAGAGATTGAAGGATTACTTGTAAACATTTGCGAGAGTCTTTAACAAGCTGCTGATAGAAGGTTTGGCAAGTTCATCAACCTTTTCCCCTTTTAGAAAGAAATGGAAAGTTGGCTGCAGAAAAATGCACACATCAGCAAACACACACACACACACACACACACGGTTTCAAGAACAGACACGTGCGCTATAAAAAATACTAGGATCAAATCATTTACCGTCTTGTAAACTCCCAACCGGTACAATGAGGAACAACCTGCAGTCTATAGATAAAAATATACAACGTCAGGTTCACAAATTTAAAGGCATAATAAAAAGAAGTTATCGTATTATTCTTCTATGTGCAGCTACACGACGGATCATAATTTATATCATTAAGTAATCTTTAACCCATAACAGTTTAGCATGCTTGTTGCTCCTAGGAAAAGAATAAGGACTAGGGATCTAGACTATTCAGCTATTAGCACATAACGAGGAAGTAATCAGAGAATTGCTAAGTTAGCAAGCGTTTCGAATAACTATTAAAATGTTCAAAAATACAGGAACTATTGAACTGAACTTAGACCCTTAACTAGATTCCATACCTTGAAAAAGCAAACCCTAAATTTTGTAATGTGTGGGTAAAACACACACATGTAATTCAAGATTGGATCATCACTCGAGTAAGAGACTGCACAAGAAGAAACACCGATTATTATTGGGTTTAGGGTTAAAGTTTACATAATTGATCACAGTAAGTTCAATTCATTGCACAAAAAAATGAAAGGGAATTCGGTCATGACAACTTACCAGAACTGGGTCCCCGACGTTCGGTGAAGTAGAAAACCGCTGAAAGACTTTCATCTGTACCAATAAATTACCAGAAAACAAAATTATACCCTAAAACTAAACATTGTCAAAAAGAAATTACTAGTAAAATAATAGCATGCACACCTTCAACTTGTTTGAGTGCATCGTCATATTCGGGTGCGACATTCAAGAAGAAAACGTTGGGAGGAGGACGAGGAGCCGGATCTCGATCTCCATCTGGAAGTGGAACCGAGTGTTTGTGTCGCACAAAATGGAGGTTTGGGTTTGTGTGTGTGGTAGTGAAGGAGGGAGTACCGGTAGTAGACGGAGGAGGTGGCTCCAATTAATTGCCGTCTGTGGTGGTTGTGGTGGGGAAGGTTTTGATGGTCTGGAGGAATTTAGGGTTTGGATAGAATTAGAAAGGAGACGTGCGCGGAGCTGATGCTTGTTGCGATTTCCCCCGACCAACTGCCGCGTCAACCCCCCCGAAATTCCTCCTCGCCATTTTCGCCTCTCTTGATCTCGATTCGCTGATCCCTAAAACCAGCGTTGGTAAATAATAGGTAGACTGGGCGGCGAATTTCAAAGGGAGTGCAAAAGCCCATTATAAAATCGTAGTATGAAGTGGTATATTACAAAGTAAACACATAAATTTTCCGAAAGATTAATAATTACCTTCAATTCCACTCCGGCAATGTATAATCCAAATGTACATCGAGGACTAATAGTCTGTATATAACGGAGTCCAGTGTAACAGGTTTAGAGCCTTTCAAATCTTTAGCTGATACGTTTTCCTCCAAGTGTTTACAAGCTTTTTCGCATTCTTCAGCATTCCCCGCCATCGTTACAACTATATTGGTTGGAGTTACTTTTGAAACGTTTTCCTGTGTCTGTCTAACTGAAAATATGAAATATATATTCAAAGACTAAATAAATTAAGCTGAAGCTAATAAACCCTAAAACCTGTAAAGAAAACGAAAACAAAAACAAAAAAAATAATAGATGGTGAAGGAAATAAAAAAATTACCTACGCGACGTCCCTCATAAGACCACGATAATAATTGTGGCCAATTATAAATGCGAAAAAGCTTGTAAACACTTGGAGGAAAACGTATCAGCTAAAGATTTGAAAGGCTCTAAACCTGTTACACGAACAACAAATGTTGGACTCCGTTATATACAGACTATTAGTCCTCGATGTACATTTGGATTATACATTGCCGGAGTGGAATTGAAGGTAATTATTAATCTTTCGGAAATTTATGTGTTTACTTTGTAATATACCACTTCATACTACGATTTATAATGGGCTTTTGCACTCCCTTTGAAATTCGCCCAGTCTAAACCCTATTATTTACCAACGCTGGTTTTAGGGATCAGCGAATCGAGAGAGGCGAAAAATGGGCTAGGAGGAATTTTTGGGGGGGGGGTTAACACGCCCCGACCCTGATATTCCCCGAATACCAGGATAAACACGTGCTGGCCGACACCCGAGGGTGACAAAAGCCATTAATTGATACAAAAGCTAAGAATAAGAAATAAATACGGGTTATGAATTTAAAAACAATGAATTTAATAATTTAGGAACGTGTTCAGAACACATAACTAAACCTAATCACTAAAAAGAATTAAGATAAAATTAAATGAATGAAGGGATGGGTCCTACTCCGAAATGACTCGAAGATGCCGATGCGGAAGTGCCTTGATGCCAGGATTCTATGCCTCGTTTCTAAGACCTGAATGGGGGCGCAAAACAAGGGTGAGTGGACCAAGTTTATATACATACGTAGTACGAAAACAGTTATGAACATACTAACCCCCACAGTTTTAATAATGAAAAACTACTAGAATAATAAGTGATAAGCTTTTCAGAAACCTTTAGCATGCCATAAAACAATTCATATATCTTTCTGCAAATCAATCTCAGAAAATCATATCAAAAATTATCTCAGCAATCATATCAGGAAGCATAATACAAGTTGTGCTGCTAGTGAGTGCACTGAATAATAATACTCCCGGCCTAATGCCTGCACCTCAGTCTCTGTGCCCGTAGCCAGAGATATCTCCCTCCCGGCCCAATGCCTATCTCCGTGTCCCTCAGCCTTTCGCTAGGGATTATTTCTCCCGGCCTCAATGCCAACACCAGATCCTCGCCCCAGGCGGCATAGTGTTCACTAGGTACGCACAAAACATAATTCATCTCTAAAATACAACTTCGTAGCATAAATTCATCGATCCTCTATACTACGAAGAGGTGTTCGAAAGTCATTTGAAACACATTCTTAGCATCATATCGTCATCGATCAGATAGTCTACCAGAATGAGGGTTCTATAGAAAATACAATATAATGAAAATAGTTCAAAATATATATAATCAATCATAATTAAATCATCATGCTTCCTGTAAAGTATTCATCAATCAATAATTCTGCAAGGCATGCTATTAAATTATGCAATTTTATCAATAAAACATGCAATTTTCGAAGGTGGTCCACTCATAGATACTCCGAAGCAGCAGAATTGTGCGGAAAATGATTAAGGAAGTCTCCACTAGCAACTTCACCTAAGCACGAAAATGTACAATTTAATAAACTACCCAAAAGATAGAGTTTTAGGAAATGGAAATAGGTTTTGGGTTTGGATAGGCTAGGAACAAGAGGTGGTTTGGGCTTAAGCCTAAACCCATAATCACATGCACTGCACCCACACACACAGCATGCACTGCACACACTCACACACACGGCATGCATACACACACAGGGCCTGCACACACACTGTGCAGTCCAAAACACACCCACACACTTCATGCACAGCCCAACACACAACACATACACTCGCACAACATATACATACACACATGTACATATGCACGGACACCCATACACATATGCACTGCACCACACATGCACATATGTATTGCACCACACATGCACATACATATACATTATATAAACACACACACACACAGCATGCATAAGCATGCGCTGCACACACACATGCATATATATATATACATATATAAACACATACACACGCAGCATGCATAAGCATTCACTGCACACACACATGCATATATATATATATACATATATATATATATATACACACATATATATATATATACACACATATATAAACACACACACACGCAGCATGCATACACGGCATGCACATCATTCTCACACACACACACACGGTTCACGCGCACACACACCACACACTCACAGTACCACCAACAAATAGCAAGGTAAAATAACTACCTGGGTTTAGGTTCGAAGGGATCCGTGCAATCCACAGCAACAAACTTGCCGGAGTTCGTTGTCGGAACCGGGTTCTTGGCATAGAGAAGAGATAAGGTCAAAACCCTCGATTTTGACCACAAAACCAACACAACAGTGTGTAAAATAGCATGATTAAACCCAGAAATTTGAAGAAGGAACACACTTCTCACCTGGGTTCGAGTTTTAGAGCTTTGAAGCTCTCAGCTTCAATGGCATAAAAGTCCACAGTGCTCTGATGGCGCATGCAAGGGTACCATTGAGTTCGTTAAGTCTCAAGGATCCCAAATATATGGTTTTGGGGTTTGATTTGTGAGGGAAGTGAGGTGAAAGCTAGAGAGAAGCTCTCGGAGCTTAGAAAGTGTGAGAAAGAGAGAGAAGAAACCGAAAGAAAGAGAGCACTGAGATTCTGAGATGTGTTTCGGGCAGAGATGAAAGGAAAGAGGGATCTGAGAGCTGCCACATGGCAGTTTAAGATCAATAGCCTTTCTAGATCAAGGGTTAGGATTAAAAGCGAATAAGGGACTAAATTGATAGGTAACAAATATATTCTAGGGGAAAATAGAAATAGGATGAAAATATGGGGGTGGGGTTTAACAGGGTTTGACGCGGCAGTTGGTCGGGGGAAATCGCAACAAGCATCAGCTCCGCGCACGTCTCCTTTCTAATTCTATCCAAACCCTAAATTCCTCCAGACCATCAAAACCTTCCCCACCACAACCACCACAGACGGCAATTAATTGGAGCCACCTCCTCCGTCTACTACCGGTACTCCCTCCTTCACTACCACACAAACCCAAACCTCCATTTTGTGCGACACAAGCACTCGGTTCCACTTCCAGATGGAGATCGACATCCGGCTCCTCGTCCTCCTCCCAATGTTTTCTTCTTGAATGTCGCACCCGAATATGACGATGCACTCAAACAAGTTGAAGGTGTGCATGCTATTATTTTACTAGTAATTTCTTTTTGACAATGTTTAGTTTTAGGGTATAATTTTGTTTTCTGGTAATTTATTGGTACAGATGAAAGTCTTTCAGCGGTTTTCTACTTCACCGAACGTCGGGGACCCAGTTCTGGTAAGTTGTCATGATCGAATTCCCTTTCATTTTTTTGTGCAATGAATTGAACTTACTGTGATCAATTATGTAAACTTTAACCCTAAACCCAATAATAATCGGTGTTTCTTCTTGTGCAGTCTTTTACTCGAGTGATGATCCAATCTTGAATTACATGTGTGTGTTTTACCCACACATTACAAAATTTAGGGTTTGCTTTTTCAAGGTATGGAATCTAGTTAAGGGTCTAAGTTCAGTTCAATAGTTCCTGTATTTTTGAACATTTTAATAGTTATTCGAAACGCTTGCTAACTTAGCAATTCTCTGATTACTTCCTCGTTATGTGCTAATAGCTGAATAGTCTAGATCCCTAGTCCTTATTCTTTTCCTAGGAGCAACAAGCATGCTAAACTGTTATGGGTTAAAGATTACTTAATGATATAAATTATGATCCGTCGTGTAGCTGCACATAGAAGAATAATACGATAACTTCTTTTTATTATGCCTTTAAATTTGTGAACCTGACGTTGTATATTTTATCTATAGACTGCAGGTTGTTCCTCATTGTACCGGTTGGGAGTTTACAAGACGGTAAATGATTTGATCCTAGTATTTTTTATAGCGCACGTGTCTGTTCTTGAAACCTTGTGTGTGTGTGTGTGTGTGTGTTACTTTGCTGATGTGTGCATTTTTCTGCAGCCAACTTTCCATTTCTTTCTAAAAGGGGAAAAGGTTGATGAACTTGCCAAACCTTCTATCAGCAGCTTGTTAAAGACTCTCGCAAATGTTTACAAGTAATCCTTCAATCTCTTGGTTTCTTTTTTTTTTTTTGGTGGTCAATCTCTTGGTTACTTTTTGTTTGCTGATTTTGTGTATTTGTTAATGGAGTCATATATGTTGAATATCCTCGATCGTCTGATGACTTGCTTAATGTGTGTAAATTAGTCCATCTGGGATGAAGAAAAGGATAATACAAGCTTAAAAAGGCGGAGTGGATCCGTCACAACTTGTTGAGGTACTTCCGATTAGTTTTGTTGCATCGTCATATCCTAAAGCGATGGAGGCAGTTGAGTCTTTACCTGGGGTAGAACCCGGTGACAGGCTATGGTGGTTTGCAAAAGGGCTATTTTTATCTCAGGAGAAGAGAGAGACATTTTCCAAGTTGGAAGATGAGGATGCCAAGCTTGAATGGCTGTGTAGTGAGATGGCTGAGGGGGAAGAAGGAGAGATGTTTTCTAATAAATGGCTGTATGCCAACATGCCTTAGGTATAATGTGTTTATTTATATTAGGATTATGAATCATGTTATGTGAGGTTGTTGACACTATGGTCCAGACCACTTAGTGTCCTGGTTTGGAATTCGGATAATTATGCAAGTAAATGTAACGCTCGACTTGTTTGCTTATTTACGTAATAGCACTCGATAATAGTCGTCATATTGCACTCATGCATGCACGCAAGACAGATGACAACTTTGCGGTGCTATATATTATCGGCTTCTTGGAAACGTTTTATGTTACTCTTGTACCGTTTCTGCTGTATGAATGAACCCAAACAGTTTTGACTTATTTTTCGTTCCTTAGTAATATAATGCATCGATCAAGCATGTGGCAGTTTTCTTGAGATCCACTATGATGATGGAGCATTTAACATTGAACCCATAGCTTTCACTAAACTAATTATCAGTCATTTTTTACCCCGAGTCATGTTCCACCATAATGATGGAAGTAGTGGTCACTTATCGTTTGATCTTAATCCTAATGGTGGAAGATAAAGTACAACAGGAAGGTTAAATGAGCAACTATCGTTAGATAAAAGATCAACGGTGGGTTCAAACTTAATCCAACGGTGGACGATAAAAAGTACAATAGAAAAGTTGAACGAGCACCTACCGTTGGATCAAAGACCAAAGAGTGGGTTCGATCTTAATCCAATGGTGGACGATAAAAAGTACAACAGAAAAATTAAACGAGCACCTACTATTAGATCAAAGACGAAACGGTGGGTTTGATCTTAATCCAACGACGGTATAAGATAAAGTACAACTTAAAAATAAGCACCTACTGTTAGATTAAAGATCAAACGGTAGGTGACACCCATTTCCTCTAAACCCCTAGGGTTTAGGAGAACAGTTCTGACAAATCACAACTGGTAAACATATGATAAAATGGGCAAAAAATTGTTGCACTGGCAGATAATAACAATGCTAGTACCAGAAGGAAACCAAAGATAGGCTCAATATTATATAATCAAATACGAGTCAACGTAGCACAAACATCTACTAGTACAACTTACTTGTCCAAATTTAAATAAACCCACCCGTCCGAACCATATATATGATGTCAACAGCATATAAATTCATAAATTTAAGTGCATCCAACTTATTCCACCTCCATTTCTTCACGAAACCAACCAATCTTGAGCCCAGGATCTTTAATGTTTGAAAATATCACTCTCTTCTCAGGCTTAGCTGTAAATAGTCCTTTCGCAAAACACCACATACTGAAACCCCTTGGTGCCGTACATAAAGATTCAACATCCTTCATCACTTCACTAACTGAAGGTACGTCACTACTATCAACATCTACCGCACCACCTTTCCATTGGAAGAACATCGAACCATCTCCCACTTTCCACCCTCCTGCAATTACTACGTCATTCTCATCTTTCTTAGCTTGTAGGACAAGTTGTTGAGTATCCGTTTTCCCCTTCCAGGATGACCTCGTCCGCTGAGGGGTTTCGACTGGCCTGACGTATCTTTATTGGAAAGTACACATATGAGGAAATTCAATTCAATAATAGGGTTTAGTAATTAACTAACTAACTAACTAACTAACTAACTAACTAACTAACTAACTAACTAACTAACTATATATATATATATATATATATATATATATAAGAGAGCGAAAGATATAAATCCAAAACAAGTGAGATACTGCGTGATCACATTGATGTAAACTTCAATTGAACCATCAAAAACCCCAAACAGCACCAATATATACGACTGCATTCACAAATATGCAAAAACAAACAAATGTAAAAGAATGAAGAAAATAATTACCTGTAAAGTTTTTCACACATATCCATCACGGAATCAGCATAACCACCAACAACCTCATCAACCTTAACCCCGTTTTGATAGAAAAGGAATGTTGGCTGCAGCAAAATGCACAGGTCATCAAATTAATTTGCAATTTTTAGATGAAAGCAAGGCTGAATTATTTACTCAGCTTAATCTAACGGCCTAATTAGCCAAAACAAGTATATATGTATAGCATGTATAGCTATTCTAAACTTTCAATTAGCAGATGGTAAGAAAACACCACAAGTTTTTTAATCATAATATAAACACAAAGGTTACATACATGAGCAATCAATGAACTAATTATGTTACGAACATACAATGATAACAAAAGGGACAGAATCACTTACCATAACGGAAACACCCAAATCAAGTGCTATTGGGTGCAAGTCGCTCTATAAATAGAATAAACAATGTCAGGACAATAATTTAAAGGGCATAACAAGATTAATTATCATTTGTCATACAGTGTGGTATCGAAATAAAAAGTTGATACTCCAGCAAATTTGCTTTATCAGGTATGACAATATTTATGTATGTTTTACCAAGGCCATGTATAGACCAGGGTAAGCAAAAGAGATAAAGATGCAACTAGTTGCACTAAGCATTGTGATTTGTAATGCGATCACAAACTGCCCACAAAAACTCTCAGAAGAAAATTGATTTATGATAGAAAACTTATTTCTTCTTAGTATCATGGACTGCTAAATTCTATTTACAACAGTTCTTCCTTATAATATATATAGGTAAAATCATAGAATTTTACAATCTTTGGTCTAATATTTATATGAACTCTAGTGGGTGAACTCTATACCTCCATGTCATATTAAATCAATGATTTTCACTTGTTATTCATTAATTTGTTTTTGAACTTATGCACTACTGATGTTATCATGTAATCCAAAACGAAGTTCCCTTTGTTCGCCAAGTTATCCATGAAACCAAAAGAAATTTGAATTTTGTTTTGGTACAGAAGAGCATTTTACATAGAATTTGTGAAGTGAATTTAAATATTCTTAACATTATTTCTAATTCCTAGCTTCACATTATAATACGATCCTGTTGGGAAAAAAAATGTTGCTTTCATAAAGAAATGATTATAAAAAAACAAAAGTAAAAAACTTTAATTTCAAACACTATAGCAACTGCCAGATAGCCAGGTAGTGAAAAACAAAAGTTAAATACTCGTCTAGTAATTTATTAAGATTTAATTCTTCTAGAACCCACACGTTGTTTTCACCTTAATACAAACAGTTTACAATATGAAAATATAATTCCCAAATGATCCAATCAAGTTAGCAGATTAGGACACCATACCTCAACAGTAAGCAGTAAGCATAACCTTTATAGTTAGTACACTTAGTACATAAAGTTGCATCACAAGAAATGCAGTACAGACATTAGAAAGATTTTGAAAGTTTTTTGTCCATGTTAAATGCAAAGGCGGTCCTTTTGGAAAGCCAGCCAGCAAGGGAGGAATATCCGAGTTCCAACTGAACTGAATATGCACTTGTGGGTGGGAATTGGGAAGCAATTCTGATCAGATTATGGATCATTTTTTCATGATTGTTTTTCCTCATTATAATGTAATTGTCCAAATCTTACATGTTGTGTTCAATCCAATGCAATACTAGGTAGTAATCTGCAGTTGTTTACCCTTAACTTCTTTAATTGCTCTCTTATATTCCTTCTTTTCCGTCAACATGATCATGTCTTGGGGACTCGGAAACAGAACTTCTGTCGAAACAGCCGGCAGCGCAGTCAGTGACAGATAGATGAAAAAAAAACAGGAAGAGAGAGAGAAAGAGCGACCGGGAGGGGGTACTTACTTGAGCCTGGGCCTAAGGCCGAGGCCGAGAGTGCACCGGAGGCGGAGACCCTGGCTGGGAGTGAGGCCAAGGAGGACGCGGATGCGTTGGAGGAAGGAATGGCAGATGCTGCTGCCGCGGTTGTTGGCATTGAATTTGGGGGGGCTAGGGTTTGGACCGTACGGTGATGATGAAGAAGACGACCTGGGAGTGGGATTCGGGGGTTATAGCGATTGCCAATCCCAATCCCGATCATCGTCTCTCGTATCAAAACCCCACAATTCTTCCTCGCCATCTCTATCTCTCTCTCTCTCTCTCTCTCTCTCTCTCTCTCTCGCGTCGTCGGTCTCTGCTACGAATGAAGATATCTCCTGTAGAGATGAACGACTTTGAGACGATCTAACGGCTGACAGTTGTTCAAATTCTATTTATTTTTATTTTTACATTTATTATTCTTAGTGAGACGTCTTATGGTCAAATTTTGTAGATGACGAATTCAATACCAAATTAGACTGCTTATTGTGTGGCTTTGCCGAACTCCCCTTCTCGACCTCGTTTGGCAGCTCGGATTGTACTGACTATTTTTGTCAGATAGGATAAATAGTCACCGGATAGTACACTGACTAAATTAGTCGAGCGTTTGGTGCAGTATCGAACTAATGATCGTATTATTTATACCGTGTTTGGTACTGAAGTAAATAAGAAAAGGAAAAAAAAAATTTGAGAAATCTTTGTTTGAAGGGGTCGGAGATGCAGCGGCGGAAAAGAGGGAGGGAGATCCGGTAGCCAGAAGAAGATGCAGGTGGAGGAATTTTTATTTTATCTCTTTCAAATTGCTAACTTTCTGAATCATTGCAAGAATTCACGTTTCAAATTGCTAACTTTCCAATGAGCAGATGGTGATATCGAACCCGTCAAACAGTAGCTGCGGAAGAAGAAGAACCGGAGTAGGAGGACTGGGTTCGCTGGAAGAAGTGAGGAGGAAGAAGAAGAATACGATGGAAGGGAACCTGCGTTTCTGCTTTGCAGGTTCGCCGACGGAGGAATTGTGTTTGGGATTTGTGGGAAGAAGGGGGAAGAACAGAAGGAGGGGAAACGAAGAAGAAGATGTTCATCTCTGTTGACTGTGGTGTGGTGGGCGGTGGAATCAGTGGGCTCAGCATCAGACTACCAACTCCCACATGAAATCTCTCCCAATTTTGAATTTAATCCCACACACCAACAAAATCAATTAGCAATTAAGCCACAAACCCAGATATTCGAATCGTGATGCCCAGAAACGGAGGTCGCAACGCCCAGGAACAGAGGTCACGGTGCCCACTTGGGTTGGATCTGCTACCTCCAGTTCTCTGTTCGCATCTACTTTGTGTGGATTGTTCGATCTACTACCCCTGGATCTCTGTTCATATCTGCTTGGTGTTAATTGGAGGTTGCGACCCCCAAGAGCTGATGGCAGGATAGGCCTGAGAAGGAGAGCGTGATTTTTCTTTGGCAAGAGTCCGACTAATAATACCAAGGTTGCGGAGGGGATAGTGAAGCGGGTGGGAGGGGTATTAAAACGGTGGGGCCGGATTAAATAATCCGGTGCTTATTTAATACCAAACTTACCAAACACCGGTTTCGTATTATTAATACTTTCCGATGATCTTATACGGCATGCCAAACGAGGCTTTAGTGTAAAAATATTCATGTACTAAAAAAAACTTTTTTGTTTTTTAAGATTTATTATTTTTACAATTTATCAACGACAAAATTACAACTTGGACTTCTCCTCCCCAATCGCAGTTGGTTTAGTTCCAATTCAATGGTACATGTGTGACGCTTCACTGAGTCAGAAAAGACTCTTTCCTTGAATTGTTTTTCTACACTTGAATACTGATTGAATTATAAGCTGATAGGATCATTTATCCACATAATCGGAAAAGGAAATTACGGGAAAGGAAAGAGCAGAAAAAGTAGAAGAAATTAAAGTAAATTCATATCATTTTATTTCTCGTCTATCTACATCATAAAAGGAGGTTTAAATACATCCAATGATTGTTAGAGTTTGAGATATAGATGGGTTTAATGGTATCACATATGTAATGGGCCTAATGGATAACAATAACAGTAGCTAGTCCAACTGATCTAACATAAGCTCAATAGTTTAGAGTCGCATCAATCCTACCCCTTAAAGAACAATTGGCCTTGTTGCATCATCAGCCACCCATTCATCTGATGGACATATTGAATTGTTGATTGCAAAAGATAAGAGTATGTTGTATGAACATGTCAATTAGTGCAGTGGCATTCCAAGATTCATGAAGAATAACAAGGGACATCTGCAGTGTTTGATGAAAAGTTTCACCTCTGCCCAAGGACATCAAAATACCACTTTTGTTGACAACTTCGAAATATTGCGAATCGTGACCTGTAATCAGGTTCGAGGCCCAAACATAACAAGAAAAATCATGGGATGTGATATCCACACACCCCTTTTTACTTCTCCCATATCTTTTCAATTTTCGGCCGTCAAATCAGATGAATTGAAGAAAATCAACGGACATAAATTAACAAGGAATGTGTGCTACACACCCCAAAATCACATGTCATGAGTCCATTTAACGTTCCAACTCTCCTTGCATAGTCCTTCAAGATCAGAACCTCATAAGAATGTTGAATCTTTGTGGACTTCTCAAGCTGTAGAGAAACAACCAGACCCTTCAAGCCATTTTGATACTTCTGAAAAAGTATATAGAATGCATTCAAGATCAAATTTCTTCGAGCATACCACACCAAGTTGGGTTGGTTGGTCTTGTAGTAGTTCTCCAGAACATGAGGAACTGTAGAAGGCACCACTAGGATATATTCGCCCAAGCTAAATCCTATTGCAACTAAGCAGTTATTGTTCACAGGGTTTAGTCGAAATACTACTTCATTTGTGTATCAATTCTTTTAGAAATGGTATTTTAAATTGTCAATATGCTCCTTGCTTGCTTGGTTGTGATGTTTCACATTGTTGAGGACCTTGAGGAATTAGTGGATCATGTACTTGTTTAAGCAATTTCCCTGGAACTGAGTGATGTAAATTGTCCATGAATAGAGAGATTTGTTGTAATCATAGTATTCCATTTTCATCTACTATTGCAGTTTTGCATTAACAAATGTACCCCGTTTCCTTGCATGAAGTTGATGAGATCAAGTCGATGGAATGGTATGCACAGTCGTGCAAACTCAAAAGTTAATCATATTTTAAGTGTTGATGTCAAAGTAAATGACGAAAAGGGTCGCGTGTTCTTGTTGAGAACCCGACTAGACGGTTGGTTAAAATCATAGGATAAGTGTAACCCATGTTTTAATGCAAGATATCCCCATCTTCCATTTCCGAACTTGTTACTATTAGTAAGGTAGATTTCGAGACTTAACATACTTAGGATAAGGCTTTCTTGGTTGTTGTTGTATGATTTTATGTTTTTGTTGTATCATGTTAAGTTGTTGTTGTTGTATGATGTTATGCTGTTGTATCTTATACTGAGGACATGCCTCATCTTAAGCGAGGGGAGTTGTTATAACTATATTGTTGGGCTTATTAGCTATCTTTCAGCCCATACTTATTAGCTCTCAACTTGCTTTGCTCAAGGCCCGGGCTATTAGGACTACACACGATGACTGCGTTTTATCCTTGTAGCTAGGGTTTTCCCTTCTGGCTGAATATAAATAATGTTGTTGTGCTCTGTAAAAGGGGATATGATGAATGAAATGAACCTTCTTTCCTTTTAAATCTCAATTCTCTTCCTTTCTTCTTACATTTCCTGCATTGTTCTATTTAATTTCCCCGATTCCATCTGCTTGAACCGATTGGGTGTACCATCGAGTCCTTTGTGTATTTTTTTTCTCTCGCTTGCTTTTAGTCTCTCATCAAATTGCCAACCAAGTTGATTGGACTCAAACTAGAAAGGCATGAGAATTTTTAATTTTTCTGAATTAATTTATTTGTTTGCTGTCATTTGATGAATTGGGATGCTCTTTATGTGAATTAATTATTACTCACAAATTTCTGGTTTGTTTTCGTTATATTTGAGTTCAATTTCTGATTTGAGCACTTTGTTTATGGAAGAAGGAGGCTTGCTTCATAGTTTACTGTGTTACTTCGGTCTTTGCAAATTGTATTATATTCCAATATTAGTTTTTTCGAGTTCGGGTTTTTGTTACTAGTTTAACATTTTCTTTATAGCTCCCCATACTAAATTTGAGAGAAATGGGTAGGGGAAATTTCTGATTTGATCATGTTTTTTTGTTGTTGCTGCAATTATGGATTGGCTGGTTTCTGTAAGTTTTTTTTGTTTCAAAATTTTTAATTGCATTACACAAGCTGGACCAACGGATCAATACATACCATTATCAGTACTTGGAGGAGGGATTGTTGGGTTAATTAGTGTAGGGTTGATTATGGGCATGCGGGATTGTTGCTTGTATTTATAATTGTTTTCGGTTGAATTGTTCCGTGTTCTCACACTAACCTTTCGGAAGTGTTGAGTTCAATTATTTCCAAATGGTGGTCATAGTTGGCATTATTGTTTTGGAAATGGTAGTGGAATAACTTTCACTTGTTTGAAAGATAGCATTTGGGGAAATAAACCGAATATAATTTGGTAACTTCTTTTACTTGAATTAAAACTTGGCCTGGGTTGTTAAATTTCTCCTTGTAGATACATGGATTTTGTGGTTTTCCAAGCTCTTTTTGTTTTGATTATAATACATCTAGAGTAAGTGTGAACCGTGTTGAGAATTGTGAGAGCTTTGAACCTATGATCGTTGATATGCAACTAGCGGTCATTGTTCACGGGGTTTAGTCGAAATACTGCTTCATTTGTGTATCAATTCTTTTGGAAATGGTACTTTAAATTGTCAATATGCTCCTTCCTCGCTTGGTTGTGATTTTTCACATTGTTGAGACCTTGAGGAATCGGTGGATCATCATAGTACTTGTTTAAGCAATTTCCCGGGAATCGAGTGATGTAAATCTTCCATGAACAGAGAGATTTGTTGTAGTTAGAGTATTCCATTTTCATCTACTATTGTAGTTTTGCATTAACAAATGTACCTCGTTTCCTTGCATGAAGTTAATGAAATCAAGTCGATGAAATGGTATGCACAGTTGTGCGAACTCAGAAGTCATCATATTTTAAGTGATGATGTCAAAGTAAAGGACGAAAAGGGTCGCGTGTTCTTGTTGACAACCTGACTAGACGGCTGGTTAAAATCATGGGTTATGTGTAACCCATGTTTTAATGCAAGATATCCCCATCTTCCATTTCCGAACTTGTTACTATTAGTAAGGTAAATTTCGAGACTTAACATACTTCGGATAAGGTTTTCTTTGTTGTTG